GGTGGGAAGGCCCTGGCAGCGGGGCCGGACCGCGGGGGGTGCGGACTAACCCGCTGTCTTCTCTTGCAGTGGTTGATATCCCAGCAAGTATCCTTTTCCTGGCTGCCCGGGCCACCTCGCTCTGCACTGTGGGCTCTGATAACAAACCGCCTCCCCCAGAGACAGCCTGGCCCTGGGGATGGGAGTGTAGTGGGTATTTTTGATCTGCTTCCACGTTCCCGGGCTGCCTTCCTGTCGTGTGTGTTCTGTGAAGGGTTTTTTGGTTGTTTGTTTTTTTTTTGGACGTGGGAGTGTTGTTTTGTGTGTTGTTTCCTTAACTCTGCTGCTGCTAGATCCCCCAGTTTGAAGATGTGAAGTTTGAGGCAGCCAGCCTTCTGTCTGAGCTCTACTGTCAGGAGGTGAGACCCCTGGGACTGCTCCCAAAATCCCAGGTTGTCCTGGGCCTGCAGGGTTGGGTTTCATGTGCATGGTTTTGGTCCTGGGGTCTGTCACTGTGAAGGACAGGATCTGTGACAGAACTCAGCTGCAGTGTAAGTGCAGAGTATGAAAGTGTGAGGCTGAAAGCCATTTGGTCTGTCTTAGAGTTGCTGCTGGAATTACAGTGCAGGTCTCCCTGTTTACTGGGCCAAACTATTTCTTTAGCCTTCATTTAGACAAAGACAAGTTAATCTGGAGAGCAGGGGGGAAGCAGATGGTTTTCCTCAAGCTTTTGTTGTGTTCCTAGGCTATTTTTATTCTTTTTTTTTTTCATCCTCTGGAAAAGCCTTAACTAGTCTGTGCCTTCTCTAAAGCAAAATGTTTGCCTTTCATCTTACTGGAGAAAAGTGCCAAAAGAATTAAAGTATAAATACTTTAGAACAGGCTCAGTCAAGTGTAGGTGTGAGGGCCTGTGTGTTCAACTGCTTTCATATTTTAAAGGTTTCTGACCTGCCAGGCTGTGATGGGGGGATCATCACAGAATGCAGCTCATTTATTGTTAGGGATGGAGTTCCCAGTAGCCTGTTTTTTATGTCTCTGTTGCAGAATTCCGTGGATACAGCAAAGCCTCTGCTCCGTAAAGCCATCCAGATTTCCCAGCAGACTCCCTACTGGCACTGCAGATTGCTTTTTCAACTTGCAGTAAGTGATTAACATGGAGAGCTGCATTTTATTGTTGCATTGTGGGTGGAGAAATGTTTGGGAAAATACGTGTGTTCTTTGAGGGAGCCTGGAAGCCTGTAGGTTTTGACAAGGGCAGGGAGTGATGGGACAAGGGGGGATGGATTAAAACTGGAAGAAGGAGATTTAGGTTGGACATGAGGAGGGAATTGTGGAGTGTGAGGGTGGTGAGAGCCTGGCCCAGGTTGCCCAGGGAAGCTGTGACTGCCCCATCCCTGGCAGTGTTGAAGGGCAGGTTGGATGGGGCTTGGAGCAGCCTGGGCTGGTGGGAGGTGTCCCTGCCCATGCAGGGGGGTTGGGACTGGATGATCTTTAAGGTCCCTTCCCACCCAAACCATTCCATGATGCTCTGATTTTGTTCCCCAAATATTGCTGTTAATGGAGAGGCAAAAGGAGACAAGTTCATGCTATAAGTGATCTGTTGGAGGCTCCAGGTTGCATCAAGGGCCACTTTGTAGGGAATAAAGCAGCAAGGATCATCCTGTGGGCACTACTAACACACAACTTGAGAGGTGGAGCAAAAGAAAAATCCACCTCATGCCTTGCAACCAAAGTAAATGTTCTAAGCCCTGCTGGAATTGGAGTTTGCCAACTTGAAGTATTGACTTGATTATTTTCAACCTAATTAGCACAGAGAGCAGAGCTGGGGAGGGAAAAGCAGCTGGTGCAGAGGCCTCTGAGCAATGTTACTCTTCCTGTTCTGTGAAGTTCTCCAAGTGTGGCTCCAGCTGCACGGGTTGGACCATCTTCCCTTCTAGGAACACACTGGTGCATACTGGGATCTGCAGGGTTTGGTGTTTGTCCCAGTGCTCAGCTGGGGAGCTGCTCTTCCTGATGGATCCAGTGCCTCAGGTGGGGGGCAGATCCACAAAGTTAACTGATCAGTGGGAAGAGCAGGTTGTTACTGAAGAGCTCCTCCTGTTTTTCCAGGTTATGCCTTTTCTCTGCTCCCACGGAGCCTTGGGGTGTTTAATGAGAGAGTTGAGGGAGATAATTGCTCTTTGCAGGTACTTGCAGCACAGAACTAGTTAGGAAGTAATTTTATCTTTGATGAGTGTTTTAATAGTCACCTGTTCTTGTCTTTCCCCCTGTCCTGATGAGCTTGAACAAGCACCAGCTTTGTTTAGAAGGAATTGCTAAGCTCCTTGTATAGTTTAGGAGCAGGGAATTGTGGAATCTCTATTGATTCTGATGTTTGCTTTGTGAGGAGTTGATGCTTGAGTACTCACAAGGAGCTTAAATGTTTTTCCCTGAGCCTCCCTGTGAGTAGGATCCTTCCTCCAAGCTCAACATCCTTTGCTGATTTCTCTGGGATTTCCTTCCTGGTTTTAGCTGGACCTCAGAGTCTTGGTGCCTCCTCTACAACTGTGTGGTTTTCTGCCTGAGTTTGGAGAAGGCACCAAAGTTGGCAGGATTGCTTCATCCTCTCCCCATCACCTGGAACACACCTTGCAGACCTCCTCCTGGAAAACACACTCTTGTTCCAGTTACTCCAGGATAACAATCCACAGTTCTATTGGATTTGTTTGGATCTGACCTGCTCCTGATCTTAGTGAACTGTAGCAGCTCCACATGGTGTGAGCCTGGGCTGAGATGTTTCCTTTGAAATGTTACACTTTCTTTTTTTTGGAGAATGCCAAAATGCTGATCACTTATGGCCCTTTTTTTTTTTTCATTTCAGCAACTACACACACTTGAAAAAGATCTAGTATCTGCATGTGACCTTCTGGGAGTGGGAGCAGAGTATGCTCGGGTGGTGGGATCAGAATATACCAGGTGAGCTCCTGGGCTTTGGTTCCTTTCCCACTCTAAACATTTTGGTTTCCTCTACATTTTATATAGAGATTTTTCTAGTTTTATTCAGAGGTGTGTGATTGCTGTGTGGGTTTTCCAGGCAAACCAAAGTTTCTGAGTGTTCTCTTAGATCTAAGAGTTTCTCCAGGCCTTTTTCTGTCTAACTCTGAAGAGTCTTTTTTCACCATGAATTTCGTTTATGGTATTTACCATCAGCTTTTCCCACTTGCTTGGTTTGGCCTTGGAAACTATTGTAGCTAAAACTGTCCAAAAGCTCAGAGCTGAACCTGAGAGGCTGGGAATTTGGTTCCTGGGGCTACAATTAGACTGTTCCATCTCCCTTTCCAATGTCCTTCCTGTGGCAGGTTCCTCAAGACTTTTCTCTGTCCTTGAGGGGCAGACCCACAGGTTTTTTTTTTCCTCAGGGTTTTATTTACAGTTGTGGTTTGAGTAGCTTTTTGTTTTTTGAGCATGACATGGTTTTGTTTTGTTTCAGAGCCCTGTTTCTGCTAAGCAAAGGGATGGTGAGTTGGATGTACTTTCTAAAACAACCTATTTCCTTATTTAATTAGTATAATGCAAGTTATCAGATCATTAGTGTCTTGCATTCTTATCTGTGTGTATATATTGCTTTGTTCATCTGAGTAAGTACAGTATTAAAAAAATACACCTGGGATAAGCCTGAAGTCTGCAGGATTCTTCTGAAATTCCTGGGAATGGGTTTGGCTCCCTTTCTCCTTTGTTAATTATGACAGATAATTTTTTGGGAAGGAATAAGGACAATGGGAATTGTCACTGGAGCCCTTGGGATGGGGGCGGGAAATCTGGTTGTGTGACGAGGCTGGTGCAGCAAGATGTCTTGGAATCTCTTTTTGGTTGAAATGGTAAAGCTTTAAATCAACCAGCCTGGGGCTGTGTTGTGGGTCTGTGAGGGTTTCAACTGTTTGGCAGGAAAAGAATGAGTTTGGTTTTCTTGCAGCTGCTTCTGATGGAACGGAAGCTGCAGGAAGTGCACCCGCTCCTCACCCTCTGCGGGCAGATCGTGGAGAACTGGCAAGGAAACCCCATCCAGAAAGAGTCCTTACGGGTGTTCTTCCTGGTCCTGCAGGTCACACACTACCTGGATGCTGGGCAGGTAGGTGGGGCTTGTGCCTCAGAGGCAGCTGATGTTGACACCAAGGTGATTTTGGGGAGATTTTTTGATTTTTCACGGCGCTTTTTGGCAATGGAACTTCATGTCTCTAGATTTTAAACTCACTAAATGAGGAGGAAAGAAATTACATTCATTTCTTCTTCCCTGAGGAAAGGTTTCCTGCAGTATGCTTATAAACATGATGGCCAGTCTTTCTTCCATGAAATGTTGGTGGAGATGGGACAGACTTTGCATGGTTTTTTGGGAAAGGTGTGGAGCCTCTGTTGGTTGTGCCTGCAAATAGGAAGGGCTGATTGATGCTCATCCTAGGACAGGCAAAGCAGTCACTGTGCTGTGGTGCTGCTGTTGAGATTTATGCACAAACTAATTTCCTGAATGTGGAGGTTTAGTTATTGCCTGGCAAGTTTTCCCAACAAAGGGAATGTTGGAGCATCTGGGCTGCAGCAGCTCTGATGTACCTTGGGCTGCATTAAAAGCAGTTTGGCCAGCAGGTCAAGGGAGGAGATTCTCCCCATTTACTTGGATCTTGTGAGATCCCACCTGGAGAACTGTCTCCACTTCTTGAGTCCTCAACATGAGAAGGACATGGAGCTCCTAGAGGGAGTCCAGAGGAGGCCCGGGAGATGCTGGGAGGGCTGGAGCAGCTCTGGAGACAGACTGGGATAGTTGGGGTGTTCAGCCTGGAGAAGAGAAAGCTCCAGGGAGACCTTAGAGCACCTTTCAGTGCCTGAAGGGGCTCCAGGAAAGCTGGGGAGGGACTTGGGACAAGGGCAGGGCGGGGGAGAGGACAAGGGGGGATGGATTGAAACTGGAAGAGGGAGATTGAGATTGGACATGAGGAGGAAATTCTTGAGTGTGAGGGTGGTGAGAGCCTGGCCCAGGTTTCCCAGGGAAGCTGTGGCTGCCCCCTCCCTGGCAGTGTTGAAGGGCAGGTTGGATGGGGCTTGGAGCAGCCTGGGCTGGTGGGAGGTGTCCCTGCCTGTGCCGGGGGGTGGATCTAGATGGTCTTTAAGGTCCCTTCCCACCCAAACCATTCCATGGTTCTGTGATGATTGTCCCTGGCAGGTGAAGAGCGTGAAGCCGTGCCTGAAGCAGCTCCAGCAGTGCATCCAGACCATCTCCACCCTGCATGATGATGAGATCCTGCCCAGCAACCCTGCTGATCTCTTTCACTGGCTGCCCAAGGAGCACATGTGTGTGCTGGTCTACTTGGTGAGCAGCTCTTTTGCACTGACTTCTTGCTAATGAATGAGGAATTGGTTGAAGATCGTTCAGAGCCCCCAGCGCCGGGTCCTGCAGCCCAGATGCTGCTCTGCTCCCCTGACAGTTTAACTCTGCCACAGCATCTGTGAGACTGTTCCTTTCAGTGATGTTGCTGTTTGAAGAGACTGTGCAAGGGCTCTGGAAGCTGGAATGTAACTTTATTAATATCCAAGCCAAGCAGAATCAGATTAACTCCCAGAGTAGAGCTCTGTGGGCTTATTTCTACCAACAGAGCAACAGTCTTGACTCCAGATTCCTTAAATGAGTTGCTCCACTTCTTTCCTGTGGTTACACTCCTGAATGATGTCAAAATGGATTTGAAAAAGCTGGTATCTGAGGAGGGGTGGTAACCCCCAGGCTTTCCCCCTTTGCAATGAGCATTTTTTTGGTCACCTTTGCTGTGTTTTCCCACAGGTGACAGTGATGCATTCCATGCAAGCAGGGTACCTGGAGAAGGCTCAGAAGTACACAGACAAAGCACTGATGCAGCTGGAGAAGCTGAAAAGTAAGGATTAGGGTTATCAAGGAGCTGATGCCCCAAGATTCCATTCCTTGCTGCTAATTTAAATTAAAACCAAACCACAGCAACCTAATTGAGCTGCCTGGGTCAGCCTCTTGTCAGGTGGTTTCTGCTGCATTTAAGAACTTTGTTTAAAAACTGGTTGGTTACTTGGAACACAGAAATCAAGTTTTAGGGGGTTTTCATTGAAACTCAGTAAATGGGGCTGTAAAAATGAGCATTTTCCTGCTGCCTTTCTGTTTGTCCCTGGGTGTGGTTATCCAAGCTTTTGATTGTGTAAAATGAGTGTGTGTTCCCACAGAGTTTTTCCTTAACTGATGCTTAGTCTCCTGCTCCTGACAGTTCAAGCATCATGGATTTGGTGGGGTTTGGGTTGGGTTTTTTTCTTTCATTTTGGAATTTTAAACCTCTACAGTCCTTCCTGTGGCAGAGGAGCTGGGCAGAACCATCTTTGTATCAGTTTTGCTGAACCAGCTGCAGCTGAAGCTGCCCTGGGGGGGTGAGGCTGCAGGGTTGGGTGTTCATGTTCCCTTAACTCACTTTCTGAATTCTTTCTGCTCCCTCTCTAGTGTTGGACTGCAGCCCTATCCTGTCATCTTTCCAAGTGATTTTGTTGGAACACATCATCATGTGCCGACTTGTCACGGGACACAAAGCCACAGCATTGCAGGAGGTACCCGTGGGGCTGCAGTGTTCCCTAGGAGGATGCAGGGATAGCCTTGGAAACATGGGAATTCCAGTTTGGAAGCAGATACTTGGGCTCAGGATTCCAGCAGTGCTCAACTACTGACAGACATAGGGAATCCTAAGGGTGCTGGAGGTGCTGCAGCTCTGAAGCTGTGGAATCAGCCTCCTCTTCAATATTTTGTTTAAGAACAATTTGGAGTTGCTCAAGGAGGCAAAAATAACTGATCAGTGGCAACAAGTGACACCCTCCTGGTGGTATGTTGCAGTCTGGCCCTGGATGTGTCAGGGTTTGTGGCTCTTCACTCTTCTTTTAGTGTTTGTCTTACCTTGTAGTGGTTTGGGTGGGAAGGGACCTGAAAGACCTTCCAGATCCAGCCCCTGCCTGGGGCAGGGACACCTCCCACCAGCCCAGGTTGCTCCAAGCCCCATCCAACCTGCCCTTGGAACTCTTCCAGGTCTTGTCCAACTGTTTCTCTAGGTCCCTGCCCTTTCCCTGTTGGGTAGGAAGAGAGGGGCACTGTCACTTAATACAAGAAAAAACTGGGCTGCTTTTTTTTTTGCCCATTCACACAGTAATTTTCAAATCCTGTTCATCCAGCCCTTATTTATAGGACATGCTGCTAGATCATCCCCCTTGTGCTGGCAGCTTCCCATGGAGGCTCTGGGGGGTGGGGGGAAGTTGAGCCTTGCTGAAAGGATAATCGTTGCTTCTGGCTCACAAAACTCATCACCAGCACGAACCCTCTGGAAGATTTTTGATGGCCGTTCCTCCCTTGCTTGCCAGCTCCCGTTCGAAGCGTGTGGGGAGGGATCTGGGCCTGGGTTTGCAGGTGGTGCCACCACATGGTGGAGCTGCTGCAAAGCAGGGAATTCAAAACCAGTTTGAGCGTGGGAGGAGCGTTGGGGCAGCCTCTGCTTCCAGCGTGGAGCATGACCTGAGGCTCTGGAGCTGATCCCTGAGATCTATGGACATGTATGATGCAAGTAGATGGATCGAGAGCAGAAAATGAAACAGTATTTCCAAATAACTTCTTCTCCTTCCCCCTCACAGATTTCCCAAGTCTGCCAGCTCTGCCAACAGTCTCCCAGGCTGTTTTCCAACCATGCTGCCCAGCTGCACACTCTGTTAGTAAGTGTCTGTGACTAGTTGTGAGCTTTTCACTCTTGGGGACACCCTTCCCAGGGCTCATCCTCATCCCCAGTAATTACTGAGAATGTAGGAACACAGCAAGACTGAGTGATCCTGAGTGATGGGGTCTGTGTTTCCAGTGGCCAGAGCTGCTGTGGGGACTCACCCACTGTTAGTTCAGCCCATCAAAGGCTTAAATCCCTCTTTAAAATAACTGATGTGTGGCCCCAGGGTAAGTGCATGAGATAAATACACCAGGTTTATACTCTCCATGTTTAAAACAGTGTCATGTGGGACGTAAATGAAGGGGAGGGTTTATGTAGCATTTCTACTTGAGTATTATCAGAAACTAAGACAGGTTTTCTACATGAATGGGGTATTTTTGACAGGAACATACTATTCTGACAGGGTTTGTGTATGAATAGTTTTACATGGCTCTGGGGAAAAGAAGCCAAGACTTGGTGGTTCCCTTTTTTCCCTGCTAATAGTTTAAGATGCCTGGTTTTGTCCATGCTTGTCCTTGTTCCTTGCTATGATTGTGTTGTGTTACCTTAGAGATGTCCTCTCTCTGCAGGGGCTCTACTGCATTTCTGTTAATTGCATGGACAACGCAGAAGCACAATTTACCACAGCACTGAGGGTGAGATTTTTTCTTCCCAAACTCTTTTTATTATGGATGTTCAGTGTGGAAATGGGCTTGTTGCAATTTGGTGTGGGTCAGGGAAGAGAGGAGGCTGAAAGGGAAATCTGAAGATCAGTGTTAATTACACTGGTTCGTTATTTTTTCGGTGCTGATCACAGGGTTTATTAATGGGAAAATATCCAACACTAAATCTGTGGTTTATATAGGAGCAAATTGTGGGTTAGATATTGAAGGGTTTGACTGTGCTGTTGGTGTTTTGTTTGTTTTAGCTCACTACACATCAAGAGCTGTGGGCATTTATTGTGACAAACTTGGCCAGTGTCTACATCAGGGAAGGCAACCGGCACCAAGAGGTGAGCTTGGCTCTGACTCAGTCTCAAAGTCACAACTCTGTGGGACAGAAAACTGCTCCTGGGCTCAGATTTGGGTCTTTTCCTGAGCATTTTTTGCTGAGTGGTGCCTCATTTGGCAGCCAAGCAGCTCCTTCCATCTAGGGAGTGTCAGTTCATGGTCAAGAACCTGTGGGATCAGCTGGCCCAGCTGCAGAGTGTGGCTTAGCTGAGTATGACAAAGCTTCACAAGTGAAAACAATACTTGTAAAAGTTGACTTTTTGTTTTTTGCTCAGTTGATTTCTGATTTTAGCTAAAGAGCAAATCTGATGCAGCTTTTATTTGGGACTTAGCTGCAAGTTTTCTGAGGAAACACTAACATGGTGTAGAAAGTTTTATAAAGCTTGAGAAAGCAGCATTTGTTTAAAACCTGATTTTAGGATCAAAATGGCCATGAAAACTCGTGATGTAGGAATGTTTGTGCTGTGATCTAACCCATCCAACTAAATCTGAGTGTGTTTGTGGTGCCTTGATGTGCCCTTGCAATAAAAACCCTCCCTGTTGGTGCTGTGAGAAACACTGATCTTGTCCTTCTTTTCTCCTCCTGCCCTGTAGCTTTACAGCTTATTGGAAAGGATAAATCCAGACCATAATTTCCCTGTGAGGTGAGAATTCCATAAACTCTTTCCATGCTGATGTTGCACTGGGGATGGAATTACTGGATTTGTAGCTGGCTTTTTAATTTTTTTACTTTAAATTTTAAAAAGACAACAAAATCATCAACTTGTTTGCAAGGCAGAAGTTTTGACCCTGTGTTCAGTGTAATGTTTTGTTGGGAAATGTGATTATCAGGCAAATTCCTGGAAATCTGTCTGTCCTGTGTGTCATGTCAGTGCTTTGCTTTGTCCCCAGTTCTCACTGTCTCCGAGCAGCAGCTTTTTACATCCGAGGTCTCTTCTCCTTCTTCCAAGGAAGATACAATGAGGCCAAGTGAGTAGAAATGGGGGCACCTGGAAATCAGGGAGGAAAAAAGATAAACTAAAACCAAGCTTTTTTAAGATAAAATTTAACACCCCCTCCTCCCCAGACCTTGCTTTAAAACCTTAAAGTTCTTCTTCCCTCTGGATTTTATCAACCTGTTTTACCCACGGGGGGAAATCCTGGAAAGCTGCTTGGTTTGGATCTAGGGAGTTCAACAAACAAAGTTTTTTGAAGCAGAACCTCAGTTCTAGTCACTGCTGAGGAATGGAGCGCTTTGTTTCAGGGCACCTGCAGCACAGGTTTGTTCCTGAGGGTTAATATTTGCAAGCTGGATTAATTGGGTTCTCAAGGGTGGCTCTTGGATGGTGGAGGGGAAGGGGAGCTCTGAAAACCCTGGATTTGTGCTCTGTTCTGGCAGGAGGTTTTTGCGAGAAACGCTGAAAATGTCGAATGCAGAAGATTTGAATCGACTGACAGCCTGTTCCCTGGTGCTCCTGGGTCACATATTCTACGTGTTAGGGAATCACAGGGTAAGGCTGCACTGTCTCTGCTGTTACTCTCTTACCTTTCCCGTGGCATTTGCCAAAGCAAGTCAGGACTTTTTTGTGAAATTCATCTTCTTTTCGGAAGGTGCGTTTGTTGGTGCCTCACTAGAAGTTGGCAGCTCATTGACTTGCATCATTTTGTAGCTGTAATTTGCATGTTTAATAACACTTAGACAAAGTTGCAGTGTTTGGAGTCTGTTCTAGAAGTCTGTGTTTCTGTAATACCCAAAGTCATTTGAAAAAAGGAGCTGGATAGAGAACAAATCCCATCCTTCAGCTGGATTGTTCTGGAAGGAATTGTGGGGACAAGCTCCTTAATTCTCACCATCTGCCAGAAGGGATGAAATGTTTGTATTATCTTGCATGACTTAGACCCCATGGCTGCTGGGACAGGCAGCTTGAAACTGGGAGAGGAGGGGATTGAGATGAGATCTTGGGAAGAAATTCTGGAGTGTGAGGGTGGTGAGAGCCTGGCCCAGGTTGCCCAGGGAAGCTGTGGCTGCCCCATCCCTGGCAGTGTTGAAGGGCAGGTTGGATGGGGCTTGGAGCAACCTGGGCTGGTGGGAGGTGTCCCTGCCCATGCAGGGGGTTGGATCTAGATGATCTTTAAGGTCCCTTCCCACCCAAACATTCTTTGATGTCTTTGGGTTACTGGTCCATTGAGCACTTCCACTTTACCCCAGAACATGGCAGCAATTGCAGCAGACAGATGTTTTTTCTTACAAATGTAACATTTCTTTGCAATGTGTATTTGCAAGGAAGGGAAAAGAAATAATTTATTTTTGGTATCTGCTCTTCACCAGGAAAGTAACAATATGGTAGTACCAGCCATGCAGCTTGCAAGCAAGATACCAGATATGTCTGTGCAGCTCTGGTCTTCAGCTCTGCTTAGAGGTAAGGCAGGGAAAGGTTTTGTTATCTTATAAAAACAGCAAAGAGCCAGTTGGTGCTAAGTGGGGTTGAAATATGGGGTGAGAGGCTGCCTGGGTTTCCCAAATCCCAGCACAAGATGGTTCTGCTGCTGCTCTGCTTCCCTCTGAGTGCAGCTCCCATTGTAGTAAACATTTTATTAGGTTTCACTCAGGCTTTGCTTCTGTGTCACGGCTTTAATAAATATCAGAGACTATTCTATCACTTTGTAGATAAATATTGTTTCATGTGCCTAAGACAGGCCCCAGGATGCTTTGTTCAAATATTGACTAGCTCCTTGGCAGCCCCACAGCATGAAGCTGCCATTGTTTGGCTCTCACTAGAAAATAAAGCAGCAACGTGACCCTTTTCCAAGAACTTACCCCACAGCTCCAACTTACATGAAATTGCCATGAGTACCATGAGCATGGAGCTCTGGAGCACTGGCTTATTTTCTCCTGCCAGGCAGTAGGAATATTTGTCTTGGGAGGGGCTTTTCGCCAGAGAGGGCAGTGATGGGACATGGGGTGATGGTTTGAAACTGAAAAAGAGGAGATTTAGGTTAGACATTAGGAGGAAACTCTTCACCATGAGGGTAGGAAGGTGCTGGAATGGGGTGCCCGGGGAAGCTGTGGCTGCCCCATCCCTGGAAGTGCTCAAGAGCAGATTGGATGAGGCTTGGAGCAACCTGGTTTGGTGGGAGGTTGGAACCTGGTGATCTTTCAGGTCTCTTCCAACCTTTCCCATTGCCTGATCCTATACTTAGTCTTAAATCTGCCTGAGCTAATACCTGGGAGTAGGCCTGACAGAAGGCAGACCCCAGGATCAGCTCACAGGGTGTGCAGCAGGCTTCTGCAGTGCCCCAAAAGCAAGGGTTTACAAAATAAAAGTGTTGCTTGAGCTCTGAAACTGTGTTGCTGGTGGTGAAGCTGCAAGGAGAAACCACTGAGACTCTGCTTCCCACTAGATGGTGCTGGAGGCTAAAAATCCAAACACAAACCAGGCAGGGGCTTCGTTGGAGGAGTTGGCTTCCTCCTCTCAGAGCTACTGAAATGTGCTTTTTAAGAGTTGGGAAGTAAAATTGCACCAAGTGGTGCAGTGGGAGCTTCCAGGGCTGCTGGGAAAGGGTAGGCTTCAGGCTCCCTGGGTGGCCCTACTTCTCCTCAGAGGGATTTTCATCCAGGAGGGGCAGGATGTTGGTGTGTTGGTTGTGGAAATGAATCCCTGTGGGATTCACCAGGTAGAGGGAACAGCCTTTTTGGGTAGGAGAGCTGCTCAGCTGACAAGCCCAGCCAGTGTTTCTTGGTGAGCACACAATGCTGGTGTCTTCCAGACCTGAACAAAGCCTGTGGGAATGCCATGGATGCACACGAGGCAGCACAGATGCACCAGAACTTCTCCCAGCAGCTGCTCCAGGACCACATCGAGGCCTGCAGTCTTCCAGAACACAACCTGATCACGGTATGAAGCCTCCTGGGGCACCTGCAGGTGTTTGTTCCTGGGGCAATTCCACCTTCTTCACTTCCCTTGACTGTTCCTTTCCTCAGCTGAGCACACTTCTCACCCAGTTGCCCCAATTCACTCCCTTCCACAGGGAAAGGAAGTGTGACTCCATGAATTCATTCACTTTTATCAGGGCTACTTGGTGGGTAATGTCTGTTCCTTAGAAGCATTTTCTTGGTTCACCAGAATTTACAGGTTTTGAATGGCTTTGGTGGCAGGTGGGCACCTCATTGCTCTTGAAAGACACTTAACTATGTTCTCGGGTTTAATTTTAATGTTTAGGTCATTCAGTCTATCTGGCTTTGGGGGATGCTTTGTTGTACACTGCTAAAAGTACAGTTTCTATTGATACTTTAACATTCCTAAGGTATTTTTCCCCCCTTATCTATAAATCTGAAATTCCAGTTATTACACCATTTGTGTGTGTAGCCAGTGCCTTAAGGTGCAACTTTCTTTGGGCTCCAGCTATTGGTGTCTTTCCTGTCAGAAGCATTTTTAACACCATTCTAAAGGACCAGAATGGTTTCCCAACCCTCAGCTTGGTGAGGGCATAAGATCATTTAACACTCTGGACTGAAATGTCCAAACGTGAGATGTGGGGAACTTGACATCTTGGGGTTTTTTTCCCCAATTTTTCTTTTTGGGGAGAAAGAAGGAGAATAAAAGGCCAACTAGGAAGCTGCAGTTTCCTGGCAGGTGGATCCAGAGGCTGCTGGTGATGCAGCCACATTGAGACCCCCCAGCCTGGAGCCTGGATCCATATGGCATGAGAGCCCTTGGGCCAGTGATCCAGTGCTCCCACCTCCCATCTTCCCTCCTCATGGCTGGATTTTGCATAATCTCTACTGGATTAAAAATCTGGAGGGGGAGGAGGATGAGGAAACAAATACTAAATTGCCCATTTTAGAAGATTGTGATTTATCTGAGGGGAAAATATGTTTCATACTGAAATGGGTGAGAACCAGAGGCTGCACTTGCTCTGGGCAGGCCCTGGTTGTGGTGCAGGATGAGCTCTCAGCACATCTGGAGTTTGTGATTTCCCATGGTTGGAGGATCAGATGTTACCTGTGAGAGCAGGAAATGCTTCCACTGTATTCCCATTCCCCCTGGATCCAGCAGGGAAGTCAGCTGGGTTGGGAATGAGCAGCTTCCACAGAAATCCTGCTCAGGGGCCTCGCGTGCAAAACAAAGCCAGACCTGACACACAAGTTGTGATGATGAAATCTTTCATGATCTCAAGGTAGTGAAGGTTGTTCTGGCCTCCCTGCCCTTCCTCCCCTTGCCAGGCAGGGGCTGTAGGATTTTCATGCTGTTTGTTATCTTGCAGTGGACAGATGGACCACCTCCTGTACAGTTCCAGGCACAGAACGGACCCACCACCAGCCTGGCCAGTCTCCTGTGAAAGAGGAAAAACTATCAGGACAGTGTGTTTGAAAAGGAGAAAAAAAACCAACAAAACAACAAAAAAAGAAACCACCAACATGCAAAATCTTTTCTTTAAAGAAAAGGCAGCAAATTCCTCTTGTAGTGAGGGCCTGGTAGGAAACAGATTGCAAAAAGACAACGTACATTTCATAGACTGGCAAAGTGAGAAGGGCATTTTAAGCTGCTTTTACATGGTGTGTGAATATACAGCTAGTGTGTATATACCTGCTGGTTTTAATCTGCTTTCCTCTTACTGAGAATTAAGGTTTAGTCCAAAGGACACTTGTTCCTTCAATTGTTAGATACCTACTTTTTAAAAAACTGTCCCAGGAAGCGAAGAGGACTCGCAGAGTTTTGAATACCAGTTGTGTTCCCAATCCTTTTTCAGCCAGTTGGAATGTTTGCTGTGCCCTTCCACTCCTGGGAAGAATTGGGTTGAAATCGTGATTGATTGTAGGGTTGCCCTGAAGTTCTACATGTAGTTTCTGAGGTGATGCCCTTCCCTCCTTACCATGTGCAGCCCTTGGCAGGGCTGTTTGGAGTGAGGATGAGGTGGGTGAGCTCTGAGCTCTAAGGGGCAGGGTGTTGGTGTTTGCAGCCAGGGTTGCTGGTGTCCTCAGGGAGTTCTCCAGGCTGAGCTGAGCAGGTTCCACCTCCCAGATTCATCCCTGTGTGACAACGTGCCACCACTTTGTCCCTGGGAGGATCTTCCTTCTGTCTCCCTGCCCTGCTGCCCAGTCCTGGGTAGGGCAAAGCTGCAGCTCTCTCCATCTCAGCTGCTTAGTTGGGATCTGTAGGGAAGGAGGAAAGTCCTTGTCCTGTGTTGAGTCCCTCTGGGGCCAAGCAACTGGGGAACAAGGTTTTGCATCCCACCTGCAGCATTGCCAAAGGGAGGCAGCATCTGTGCCTTAATGATCTCTACATGGGATTGAAGTCAGAGTTAAACTAGGTGGTTCAAACCCAGACCCAGTATAAGCCAGAGGCTTATAAAAAACTAAACTGTCGTCTTACCCTTGGCAAAAAAACAGGACAATTCCCACCTTTTCTATGTTAGTTTTCTTGTTCTCAGTTGTTTGTTATTTTTTAACTCTTCAGCTGTGAATTCTCCCTGCCTTTGCCTGTGTCTCTGCAGCTGTCTCAGGACAGGAGAGGAGGCCCAGGCTGGTTCTGCAGAAAACACTCTGGGAGTTGTTAATTCCATGAAGCAGCAGCAGCTTCATAGCCAGGATCTGTGGCAGCCCAAGCTGGTGCTGTGTGAAGCTTGTGAGGTTCCTGGGGTTGAATAAAGGTGTTTTTTTTCTCTCTTGGTAGCTCCTGCATATTTATCTCCCAAATTCCGAGGTGGAGGGGAAAGGAATCTGCTAGGAAAATGACTTTTCTAGGGCTTTCTCTGCTTCTTTTTCTGAGGGAGGAGAGTATTTTAAAGGAAACGCTTAACCACCCCCCCCACCCCAACCATTTACATTTAGAATTTTAATTGTAGGAGGAATGCTGTGAAATCTCTTTTTTGGTCATTCTTTCCCAGCCTTGTCCCCTGGGTAGCCACAGCTCACAGAGACACTTGTTTTTTGTAGTTCAGAGCCCTCAGTTTCTGCCACTGAAGGATGTGAAGGGGACAAAGTGCTTGTCCAGTTACCAGCCCAGGGATTTGTTCCCTTGACTGGACGGGCAGTGCTGATTTGGATCCTGTTCTCAGACACATCCTCTTGCAGGTGTATTTTAAGCCTTGTTAAATGTGCAATGGGGATAACACGGCCTCAGTGTTAGTACAGGGAGAGAGCCTGGTACTTAGTGCTGTCTGGAGGCTCCCTTAGAGCTCAGAAAAATAGGAAAGAAACCTAAGTTAGCATATAGGACATTTGGGGATACCAAACACAGGGAGAATCCACAGGGATGGGCCGTGTTCTGCACCGTAAGCTCCTTCAGGTGGTGTTCTCTGAGGTCTGTCCTGTTCCCTTTGAATCCCACAGCTGGAATTCCCATGGAGCTGCTGGCTCCAGGGGCAGGAGCCTGTCCCCACCCAGCCCCTCGGTGGCAGCACTGCCCCTGTGGCCCTGGCTCATAGAGAGGACGTGGCTCCACAGCTGCTCATCCTGGTCCAAGGCAGCCCTGCCGAGCTGCAGGCACAGGTTAGAACAACCCTGAGCTGTCCTCTCCTTGGATTGTGGTCAGGAATGATCAGGTAAATTCTGCCGTGGGAATATCAGTATCCCGTGTGTGGTGTGTGTGGGAAGCAGTGTCACTCCTTGGTTCTTTCCTCTCTTAAGTCACTGAGTTGCAAGAACTCAGCACCCAAATTCCATGGCCGTTTTCCTGACAGTGCCTCAGCAGCTGAGGAATGACCAGTGGCTGGAAAAGATGGTTTTCAGAGTCCCATCCAGGTGATCCAGGCATTCCCTGTCTTGTCTTCATCCAGTCTGAGGCTGTTACTTAACTGATGCCCACGACTGCCACAACAACTACCTTCAGATACCACAGAAAGTGCTGCTTCTATGAGGAAATATTTTTTAAAATCTATTCTCAAGAGCTGTGGTTTGGGCTGAGTTGAAGAAAAGCATTTTGCAGCAGTGCCTGTTTAGGGAGCTGCATCTCCCTCCCCACCTGCCCCTGCTGCTCAGGGCTGGAGATGCTGCTGCAGGAGAGGGATTTCCAGCAGGGTTTTTTTTTGTCGGTCCTTGTGTGTGTGAACCAGGCTGCTGGGGAAGGTAAATCCCTGGCTGGTCTGTCCTCGGGAGGGAAGGAGGCACTTGAGGGCAAGGCTGCCTGCTTCTGGTGTGTGTGTGGAACAGGAACCATTGGCTAAACAACCTGTCCTGTCAGGAGGAACCACCTGAGGTTTCCCCAGCTCCACTCGGGCTTTGCTTTTTGTGCCACTGTCACCCACAGCCCCGAGGCATTCAGAGCTCCCAGAGTCCTCTCCCCATCACAGAATTCCCAAAATCATGTAAATTTGAAAATAACTGGGTGATTTTCTATCTCTGAAATTCAATGTACATTTGTTACAATGTACAGTGCTTTTTAACGACACTTGTATATTAAATTATTTAATAGTTTTTGCTTTTCAGTATCTTTTGTATGTAGCAGAGATGAAAACAAGGACCTCATAACTGAAGTTCTTCCTAATTTTCAAATGAGTCTGTAAAGTTGAACAGAAAACTAGAAGTTTACAGTTTACAAATAATCTTCTGTTAAGTGCTTGGTCTGTCTAACTTGATTTGAACAACCTATTTCTAAACTTCCTTGTCCAATCATTTAATTCTCTCTGGAAACAAACACGAAGTCTTTTATGAACTTCTAAAAAAATATATATAATTATTCTTCTAAAGATGTAATTTAGAGAAACCTGTACAGTTTTTTCTCTAGTATTTTTAAATGAGTAGCCAGAACTTACACAGAAGCATCTAATCACTGTTTTTTGTAGATAGTGTAAAAACTTATATATGTATAGAGAATGCAGCCTGAAGAAGTGTTTGCCTGTTGTTTCATTTCCTACACCATCAACATCAGAAAGGCCCATGTAAAGACATCTAGATTTGGCAGCTGGGGGGGAATATAAAATAAAATCAGTCATTAATTTCATCCCCCACATGCTGGGTGTGCACTCCCTGTGCCACCAGGAGCAACAATTGCTGGGGATACAATGTGAGGGCCTGCAGTGGCTGTGCTGCCTGGGGACAGGGGGGTGCAGCCCCATCTTACTTCCCTGCTTTTAAGTTTATTCAGCTTTTCCAAGTTCTCCAGTGAGTAAAATCACAACAGAAGGAGCTCAGTCATGTCCCGTTTCACCTGAAGGGATTACTGACCTTTCCCAGTTCTGCTGGATGATCCCATTCCCATGGTGTGTGGTGGTTCTTCACGGAGTGAGTGAGGAGGGAATGGTGTTGGTTTAGGTTGTCTGGAACACTTGGAGAAACCAGGATGAAATCCCACCCCTCTGTGCTCTTCTACTGTCTGTCTTAGCAAGTGTATTTAATTGTTCCCTGCAGTGACCCCCTGGGTGTTCCCCTGGGGTTTGTACCATGTGTTGTCCCGTGTCTGTAGCTCTCCAGCTGTAGCAGGACCTGTTCCCTCTGCCAGTGCTCCCTCCTGACGCTGTAAATACGGGAACTCGCGGCACGGGATGGAACCGGGGGCGTGACTTGGTTGCCTTTGTTTCCTCTCATTTTCTATATTAGAAGAATTTTTAAATAAAGTTTTAATTTTACTTCTTCTAGCCGTGGGTAGGATGTTCCTTCAGCTGAGCTGCTGGCAGTCCTGCCTGGGAGGGGGGTGTTGTAGGTGGGCAACTCTGCCCATCACACATCCTGGAAGTTGTTGGATGTCCTGGCTGTGGGACAGGAGGGTGGGAAGCCTGGGAGCTCTGGGGGAGCAGGGATAGATCACTGCTCTGCCTGCAGGCTCCTGCCTGGAACAAGAACCAGAATTTCCTGCTTGGAAATGTCCACCTGACTGCTCAGCTTCCCACGCTGGGGAGGGCCAAGGGTGGCCCTGAACCTGCCCTGGAATCCTGACAGGTGTTTGGGATAAAATGAGTTTTGTGGATTGGTCAAACACCTGGAATTGTTCTTTTTTTGGTCTAGGACAGGAGTATTTTTCACTGCAGTTGTGCAGTCAAGAAGGATGCTGACTTGATCTTCCCAAATGGGATCAGGTTGAATGGAGATTGCTTTTTTTGTCTTCTATCCCAACATCTGAACAACTAGCAGGTATTTTTACATGTTGAGCTTCAATTTACAAGGATGAAAACTGCTGAATCCATTTGTCTGCAGGTAGAGCTTCAAAGAAACTAAAGAGTTGTAAAACTGAACTGCAGTGTCCCTTTCCAAGGTGCCACCTGAACTGCTCAGCCAGTCCCTTGCAGTTCACCAGAAAAGTTGATTCTGTTCCAAGTTTACTCTGTATGAAGATTTTTAACCCAAATGGCAGTTTCCTTTCTGTTGGAATTAAGACTCTGCTGAGCTGACATCCCTGTCCCCTCACCCTGCTTATCTGCAGTTCCTTCCTCAGAAAAAAAATTGGACATAAACTGAGCTGTT